TTACTTTTATTCCTTTTTAGCTTTTAATTTTTTTTTTTCGATTCAGTATTCCTATTTTCATTTAACATAATACATTTTCTCTTTAAATATTTAATAATTTTTATTATTTACCCGTTTTTATATCTAATAATAAAATCAATTTCCTTTATACGTGTTAGGTTCGATATTAATATTTGTATACATTAAACAAATTAATAAATAATGTATATCCTTAACCCAAGATAAATTTATATTTATTAATTGATGTCAATAGTAACTACTGAATATATCTAATCTCATAACAAAATATAAATTTAGGGAGATAGATACATTCCCGTTACGGAATCATTTATTCTGGATTTGTAACCATTAAAGCATCATGTACGTAATTGTTGGGAATAAATAATCAATCGTTACAAATTTTGATGGAATAATTTCGTAACGGGACTGTAGCCATAAAATTGATTGTGGAAACTTGACTACTCTTCTCCTAGGCAAGACCGGTCAACCACTCAATATTTATGACGACAGGGCTGTAATAAATATTAATTAGAAACAAAATAAGAAAAAATAATAATAATAATAAAACACACACACACACACACACAAAACACACACCTGTTCCTGGTGAGTAGTTTGGTAAGAAATTCCCACAGGCGGTGGTTCTTGCATATGACGAGGCAGATGGTCCGGCTAATGTGCTCGTACCAGCAAGCTATCGACGCGCCGAATGCTATGGGTGGCCACACGCGCCGTGGGGCTACTCTCCTCATCATGTGTTGTGTCGCCTGTTCCCCTTTCGGTGCGGGAAAATACGGCTGCCAAATTTTGTTTATTTATTTTTTGGGTCAGGACAGTTATGAAATTAAATTCAACCCCATATCACCAAAATTCTCAGCCCAACTAATAATTAATCAAGCTAATAGTTATGCCCTGTCATGTATACAAAAATGCTGTGGTCTCGTTACAGAATTATTCTGTCGGAATTTGTAACCGTCAGGATAGTTGATCTAACGGTTACAAATTCCGACATAACGGTTAACGGGACCGTAACATCTCCCTAGACATTGCATAGATAACTTGGACAATCACAAAATCTACATTTTATGTTTGGCCAATAAAA